GGTTTTAATAATGTATAGTAAAAGTTGGAAGTAACATTAACTAAGACTAATACATGCTTTTGAAGTTTCTTTTTTCCATTGTTAGTTAAAATAAGTGGTTTATATATATATATATATATATATATAAACCACTTATTTTATTTGTATTATCTGTCTTGTCATTCTGTCTGTGCACTGCGAGACAAATTGGCAATAAAGCTCTTTCTTTTTCTGAACTGTGGAGAATGATAAAATGTTGCAATTTGTGTGCATTTGCGATTATACGAATCAAGTTGTGCTTCACAGTCGTTTCAATCCTTTGTTTTCATGCTAAACATATTCATACAGTAGCTAGTCATAAATATGTTTTCCACATTTATTTTAGTGGACGCATGACAGTTCTGCTCAAGCTCACACAGGCCATGTTTACTGTACATACTGTAAATTAAAATATCAGCATTTATTGTTTTAGAAAACTTTTTAGATGATGCGAGATAAGCTCCTGCAGACTTTAATAAGCCTTTCTGTGTCTGCATTTCACTTGGTCTTCATCACACCTCTGTAAATCACTCTGGTCACTGATTGTATGATGAGATTATGTCCAGTAAAAATCAACGTTCCCTTGTCATTTTAGCAGTTCCGTATTCACACACAGTGAGCAAAGCACCATTAAATACAACAACATACACTTGCTTCTCCTCACGTCACATGAATAAACAAATTAAACTAATTTGCAGAGCATCAGAACAGAGCAGCATCACCTGTCTGAAGAGCGGGGCTCCGGGCTCCATCAGTCCGCTGTAGAGTCTCACTGACGCCGGGCCTCTGTGATCGATCACCGGTGCTTTGCAGTTCCACAGCCGGATCGCAGAGCTCACTGCAGGCTTCAGTCTGTTCAAAATGGCAGCACTCATTTTACTTCTGTGTAACTTTACACGTTGGAGTCTCCACCTTAAACCGGTCTGACGAGTATCTGTCTGATCACTGAATGAACTTGGGTCGTCAAACTGTCCTGTAAGTTAATTGTAAACACCTTGTAACTGTAAAAGAGCGAGTGCACGCCTTCTTCCGGGATCACTGCATAGTAAAGGCGCGTATTATTTGGTAAGAGAAGTGAATATCTAATGCATGATAGGATCGCTTTATAAATGTGCTAATTTCCAGTATAGATAGTGATGTCGATTCCTAATGTTTATGACATTCTAAAGTGACTGACAAGGAACCTTGACTTGTCCGCGCATGCGCAGCAAGCTCGTGTGTGCAGTGCTGCCACTTGGCGGTGGGATCAGTAGTTTAGGGATAACCAAATAACCATTAGAGAGTTAAAATTTGTATTAGGGAGTCACAAAAAGCCCCCTCTCTTCTGACAAAATAGAAAACAGAAGCTAGTTCACAAAATAAATAAATAAATGAATTAAGATCTGTCTTTGTCCCTCGATTGACATGCGCCTACTACTTTGATGCTTCAGAAAGTTCATAAAGAGACTAATCCATATAAATTGAGTGGTTTTGTCAAGTTTTTCGGGAGATTCAGGTGATGAACAGATTGAATTTAGGCTTTTATATTAACATATAAACATTCACCAACTCACACATCAGAGTTCGGTTGAGCTTCTGTTCGCTGATTAATGTTTATTTGTATAAAAGCCTATATTCAATCTGTTCAGATTGAGTCTCTTCAGAAAATTTTGGACTAAACCGCAATTCATATGGATTAGTTTTAGATAGCTCTAAAGTAGTAGTTGCGTAGCTGTCAATGAGGGACAGAAATCTCTCCGATTTCTTCAAAAAGATTTCCATTTGTGTACTGGAGAAGATGAACAAAAATCTTATGGGTTTGGAATGACATGAATAATTAATGAACGGATTTTTATTTTTGGGTGAACTATTAATGTTCTTCACACCCAGTGTAAACCACAGACATAGACTACACTGTAAAAAATATTGTTGGTTTAACTTAAAAAAAGTAAGTAACCTGGTTGCCTTAAAATTTTAAGTTCATTGAACTGGAAAAAGTAAGTTAATGCAATGAAGGAGATTAATTTAATCATCAGAAACTCAAAATAATAAGTTATCTCAACTAAATAAATTATTATAAAGTTGATTTGACAAAAGAAAATGTGTTGTGAAAACAAATCTTGAAAATATTTTTTACAGTGTACGTATATTAACCTAAAGTGTAACCAAATAAAACTTTAATGACTATCAGAGTCAGAGAGCTTACCTGGAAATACGCTTGTAAGGGTCAAAGCAGGAGCTGTCCGCCTCTATACCTGCACTTTCAGGTTCTTTGTAGGGAAGTGGGTGATGTACAAAAATATTCAATTATCTGGAGTCATGGCTCAAAAACACCAATGAGTCTCAACAGCAGCAGCACACTAATTAATATTCATGAGCTGTCTAAAAGATGAAAAAAGTACATGTTTATCAGCCACAATGAGTACAAGTTCCAGTTCATTTATGAGCTTTAATCTCCGCCCAGAGTTTATGTGATCAGATTCAGATTCATACAGCTATAGAAACGACATCATCATGAAGAGACAACTGTCAGAGTGAGTCAGCAAGTCCCACATTCCATGCATATCTCCCAACATCATTTTTATTTATGTATTGTTCTCACATGCCCTTTTCTGAGCGTACGTGACTCCAGTCAGTCATATTAAATCAGCATGAGTCGGTCTGGATGCAATGATCTTTTATTGCTGCCTATTTTACAGATGATATCTGCTTCTATTCAAGGTTTCAATTATCTGTTGTAAGATTAAAACTGAATTTTCAAAAGTTATTATCCTTTATGGTGGCCACTGAGAATGCCTCTTCATTTTTATCCTGAAATGAAATGAAATAAATGTTAATGGTTTTTGGACTTTATATACGTGCAAATAGGTTTAAAGGAATGTTACTAGTTCAAAGTCTGTGTAAATTTATTTATTTTATTATTATTTTTTTGGTGGTGGTGTTTTACATAAGGTACTGGTTTTATAAAGTCATGTCAGGAGTTTGGTTGGTTTATTTTACAGTCACTCAGTTTTTTGCTATCCCCATGGGAGAAATGAATCTAAAATACTTCCGGAAGTAACGCTGCTGAAAAAGTGGGCGGGTGTAAAGTGTAAACAATGTCATGACACTTTTAATTCTGTAGTGCTTCAGTATTGATTCCATTTAGTGTATATGTTACAAAGTTCATCAATTCGATTGTATGCATGAAGTGGTTTTACTTCTGTGTATTATGCAGTGTTTTGCCCCATATACTTCCTCTGAATTACATTACAATGCATTACAGCAAATTTGATTTTGAACCCGTAACATTCCTCTGTAACAAACTGAATAATGATGCTGTTGGTGTTGTTTGTGTTTACACTGATGTATTGATCCAGCCACTGGAGAAGCTGAGTGATTCTGGTGTAGACGCCTGGTTTATTGCGTCTTCCACATCCTTGTCCCCAACTCACCACACCAGCCAACCTCCAATCACCAGCTTCAGTCTTACACACTAGAGGACCTCCGCTGTCACCCTGGAGAACAATTACACAACAAACCATGTAAAAAACACACACAGGATCCTTCAAGGAAATATTGGTAACACTTTACAATAAGGCTCTATGTTAACATTAGTTAAACTTGAACCAACATGAAAAATACTTCTAAGGCCGGATTCACATATAGCACCTAAAACGCATAGAAAATGCTGGACGCGTCACATTCTTCTTTTTCCAAAGCGCTAGGGTGGATGCACTCTGGTTGGTTCTTGTCACATGACCTACTGTGCGCTTATGATGCGCTTGTGGCATTCTAAAAAGATGAAATGTTTTTAAAAAAAATTTAATCATTCCGTTATGATTCCATATTCTATTATGATTCCATATTCCATTCCGGGCATACCGCCGTACATTTGAAATAACGAACTTGAACGCGCAAAAGACGCGCCCTAAAGCATGTATTAATTGTAGTTAAATTCAACATTTACTTATAAATTATTAAAATCAAAAGTTGTATCTGTTAATAGTGTTTAATGGACATGATTTGACATGAACTATGCTACGCAGAATTGTCATTTTTAAGCAATCTATCATGTTAATAGATGTGTATACCTGACAGGAGTCCACTCCTCCCTCCATAACGCCAGCACAAAGCATTCTGGGAGTGAGTTGGGAGCCGTAGACGTTGGACTGTAAGCATACGGACTGGTCGATCACCTGAACTAAAGCCTGTCTCAAGTGTGAGGACACCGACCCTGTATGAGAGAGTGAAAGACACCTTCAGGAGTGTTCGGGAGGCCTGTAAACGCTTCAGAAACATGATCTCACCTCCTTCGTGAGTGTAACCCCAACCTGTGACCCAGCATGGGGAATCAGGAGGAAAAGACTCGCTCAGACGTGGTAAACACACGGGTCTCACTCCATCTAAACAAAAGTCAACACATCTGTTCTGAATTACAGAGGAGAAATCATTTTTTGTTTTTTAATATACATTCTACCCATCTATAAATTATAATACAAAAAGAGATCCTGTTTTATTGATACTTTTCAACTAGAGATAAGAAAGGAATCTTTCATTTGCTTTAAAATGTTAACAAATACTCTCTGATTCAGTCACAAAAAACATTATTTGTGTTCATATGAAGAAAATTTTTAAAAAATGTATATTATTTATTAATAATAAATAAATAAATACACACACACACATGATTACAAGAGGTAAAAACGATATAAATACTGTTCGTTTTCTCACACAAACCGCTCGTTTCGTGTCTTAGGCCATCAATGTGTTCTTACATTTACGAGTCATTAAATCATGTTTAATTTGGACTTCTCTGTGCATGCTCTTTGAGGTGGTGACCATAGACCTCCATTATATGACTGACAGATAAGAACGGTTTGACCTAAAAATATCAAAATTGAAACTACTGCGGAAACAAAGACACCTACATCTTGGATGCCCTTGAGGTAAGCTAAAACATACTAAAAATTAATTTCAAAGTGAACTATCCCCTTTAAAGGTGCTCTAAGCAATGTTGGGTGATGTCACTTCTTGTTGACGTTCGAAATAATGTCAAACAAAACGGAGGCTAGCTAGACCCTCCCTCCTCCTCATCCCGGCCCCTCCCCCTGTAGTTTTACTGATACTTCATTCAAGGTGTAATGTCACCAAGTTAGATAAATGCTTATTATATAATTCAGAAAAAGAGAAACATTACCAGAAAAACACAATAAAACGTTCCACCACCTGAGGTTATAACTTTATCTCCCATACAAGGACGCAATAATAGCGAGATACCTCCCATCTCCATCTCAGTCTGCGTGCGCAGCAGACACAGGTCGTAGTCGTTGTTGTTCCCTGAGAATCGCGGGTGTGGGTGGATTTGCAGTGTGTTGTAGCGCTTGCCCTGGGATGAATCCGAGACACTGACAGTATCAACAACCACGATCCAATCAGACTCCAGCATCATATCATATCTGACAAACAACACAAACACAGCAATGGAAAAAGTCAAAATGCATTTGTATAGCGCTTTACGCAATACACATGGTTTCAGCTTCACAGAAAATCATGATGTAAATGCTTATCATTTTTTAATATCTTCACACCTTAAGAGCTGGTCGATAATAAAGTTTACGTTTTCTCGCTGTTGTCTCATACTCACTGTACGAAGCAGTGTGCGGCAGTGACGACCCAGTGAGAAGTAATGATGGATCCTCCACACACGTGTTTGCCACGCCAGTGTAAACTGGTCTGCCACCCCCACTGGTCCTTCGCAGCCTCCGTACCCCCAACAATACGCATCCCACGAGACCCAGCATTCATTGCTGTGGAGCAATCTGGGCGACAAAGACCAAGTTCACTTTGACAGGAAGAGACCATGTGACATCATAATCAAATCAAGATCTCTTCATGTATCTCTGATGGTACCTGAGGAAACGTTGACGGTGTCGTTGGCTGGATATTTCATCGAATAGACACCGGGCGCCGGTGTGATGGTGCAGTTCTGTGAGCCGCCAGCAGGGGTGTCTCGCGCTTTGGTTGGGAAACACACAAACTTCACTAAAGAGGGAAAGTATTGCGTTATCTCACTGTTTTCATGACAGTAAATAGATTTATATCGATCTGATTGTACCAGATCACAGTCTTTAATGAGAGCACATGTACCTATGATGGCAATGCAGACGGTGAGGATGATGAAGGTGGGGATGAGGGTTGTAATTAAAGCCAGACGTGATGGACATGATGGACAGAGTCTGAACCCAGAGACATCTGTGATGAGAAAACAATGAGAAGGGAATTATCTATCTATCTATCTATCTATCTATCTATCTATCTATCTATCTATCTATCTATCTATCTATCTATCTATCTATCTATCTATCCATTTAACACTCCATCTATCAATCTATCCATCAAATCAATCAATCAATCAATCAATCAAACAACCATTCAATCTATCCGTCAAATCAATCAATCAATCAATCCATCCATCCATCCATCCATCCATCCATCCATCCATCCATCCATCCATCCATCCATCCATCCATCCATCCATCCATCCATCCATCCATCCATCCATCCATCCATCTATCTATCTATCTATCTATCTATCTATCTATCTATCTATCTATCTATCTATCTATCTATCTATCCATCCATCCATCCATCCATCCATCTATCCATCCATCCATCTATCTATCTATTTATCTATCTATCCATTTAACAGTCCGTCTATCAATCTATCCATCAAATCAATCCATCCATCCATCCATCCATCCATCCATCCATCCATCCATCCATCCATCTATCCATCCATCCATCCATCCATCCATCTATCTATTTAACAGTCCGTCTATCAATCTATCCATCAAATCAATCCATCCATCCATCCATCCATCCATCTATCCATCCATCCATCCATCTATCTATTTAACAGTCCGTCTATCAATCTATCCATCAAATCAATCAATCCATCCATCCATCCATCCATCCATCCATCCATCCATCCATCCATCATCCATCCATCCATCCATCCATCCATCCATCTATCTATCTATCTATCTATCTATCTATCTATCTATCCATCCATCCATCCATCCATCCATCCATCCATCCATCCATCCATCCATCCATCCATCCATCCATCCATCCATCACCTCACCTGCCCCATCTGTAGAGGAGTTTTTAGAAACACTAATGTTAATGCCTCCTTCCTGTAAGATGATGTCTTCTTCTTTGGAGGAGGCTCTAGGGTCTGTGAGGGGCGAGGAGCCGCTGTCAGGTGGTGGTAATCGGGGCAGATGCGGCATGAGTGTCGACAGTGTGAAGGGAGCCAATTCAGAGACTCCCAGCAGCTGGACACAACCGGGAGAGACCCGTGGATGTGTGGACGGATACAGCGTAACAAGAGGGAGAGGAAACTGTATGGACGCACTTTCTGCTCCGTATAGAGGGAGCTCTGTCGGCTGCGGAGACACATCTGTGAGACTCTGGACAACCGGGCTTCTTGATGCAGTTCCAGGTATCAAGGTGAGAGGAACGTCCGTCATTATTGGAGCCGTGAGAAGAGGAAGAGCCGTGTTCAAAAGCCTCGGGCAGGTGGACAGCAGATCTGGAGGAATCCCAGTGGATGGAGGAGGACATGTTGGGAAGGACTGCAGAGGCTCCTGGTTGTCTTTTGCAGGGCTGATTTTATAGAAACCCTAAACGTAAGAAAATGTTAAAAGTTAATCATGTCACTTATCACTAGGGTTGGATGGATTTAACCTATCTGTAGAGCTTTCAGACCATATTTAACATAAATGGTTCATACAGCATTACCAGCAGCATTATATTTGGTATATAGTAGTCATCTGTAATTATTTTAGTTTCTCTTTTTTTCATTTCTCACTCAGACACATCAGTTTGAAACTGTAAATGTTGGTTGATGAGTCACGATCACCAAACAGTCTGATTTAAATAATAATTTGTTCCTTTATCTGTTGTTGGTTTGAGTGACAAACGCAGTGAAGTACAAAAGAAACTCGTTTTTGGTAAAGACCTTGTGCGTCTTGAATTCAGTCATGTTCAACTAAACAATCACTAAACTTTTGCCATGAAAATACTCTGCTTGTGAGACAATTTTTATTTTTTTGAAATTCTTCATTTTATAGTTTAGAAAACTGAATAGGGGCAATATTCTTGAAATGTATTTTTCCATACTTTTTTTCATACTTATCCAGACCTGGAAATTACTCAAATCAAATTCCATAGTCTATCAGAAGACTTTAAACAAGATCAATTTAGTTAAAAGTACTATTAAGATATATAACTAAATATATAATATAGATATAAAGCTATATAGATATATAACTTTATAACTAAACATTAAATTAGCCAAAATATTGAATTAAAAAAAACATGCATGGGGAGAATTTTGTTCATGATGGTCACTTCGGTTCAGCGTGCATCTGACTATCAGCATTATTGACAAGTTTGTCATGTAGACAATGAAAAAGATCAAATGCAAAAAGCATGCAGAAAAGAATTTCTGCAACATTAAATTAACCAAATAAGATCATTCAGAAAGCTATAAAAATAGCTATTATAGTTAACCGAAACTAAAAACATGGAACCAATATTCGTTGCTTGAAATTACAGTAAGTAAAATAATACATTATTTCAGCTAGTTGCCAAGGTTTCTTAATTTAATTTAGCTTAATTTTATGTACTAAAATAACTAAAAGTGAAATAAAAATCAATAAAAACTATATAGACATAAAAAATGACTACAAAACAGAATTACTAGAACGTTAACCAAAATTAAAATGGAAAACGAGACAAATATATATGTGTATATATATATATATACTGTATATAACATATAACTAAAATAATATAAAAAATAACACTGCAACAAAATATCATGACCCTATTTCACATTAACTCCTTTGACAATAATGCCACTGGTTTAGCTAATGTCACCATGTCCGTTTCCTCTGTACATTAAACAGGATATGAAACACTATTTAGCAATTACACACATTAAATGTCAATCAGCTAATGTGAACTCAGCGCCAGTTTCTTCAAGGCATTTTGATGAATGGTTACAAAAACTAAGAGACTATTGTTCTTACCTGAACAAAAGCCATAGTTTGTGTCGGCTCATGCGTTCATAGAAACGAGGCCATTCTTCTAGTGCCTCCAACAATAGATGACACTTGGACACGCAAGCAATAATGAAAGTCCAGAAACCTTGGATGAGTGTCAAAAGAACAACAGCATCCACCATCCTTTCTTTCCGCTGAGATGCTCGCCGTGTTTCATTGTGTCCCAGAGTCACTTCCTCTACTTCAACAGCATTTCATCCGTGTCTAACGCCGCTCAGGAATTTTTATGAAGAGCGGTTCGGCTGTAATGGATAGCAGTCGCCAAGGCTGATGAAAAATGCATGCTGATTATTGTTAGACGGGGTCAGAGTTGAGCGACTGAGGGTAAGTTATACTGCGACTGATGGGTCACAAAACAACACAAAGCCAGTGACTCAGCACAGGTCAGATCATGATGACTGAGGGGAGGAAAACATGATGTTAGCATCCATCCATCCACCCTACCTGTAGGGCTTTGCATATGTGTATACTTAACAGACATAATAAAGATGTAAAACATGACACGTTTGATGCAACCTCATATGGAAAATGTGTGCATATGAGTGTATCTGTTCGTGTGGTTTAAGGCTGTGAATCCTGTTTCACCCCAGGAGGGTTTTTACCTGCCCGATCACATTACAGGATTCCTCCGTGTAAGGTGCTGGAAGTCAACAGGAGACGTGCAATCTGTAATGGGAGCAGTTAGATTGAAAACAAGATTAAACTAACTCAGTTACGACGTCAGATTACACTAAAAGGACAAGCCAAGGGAAGGCAAAGCGTCACCAGCCTCCTTTGAAATGGTTATATATCATAAAACTACTAAAAATTTCCGTTACTTGAAATAAAATGAATGCTCATTTAGTTTAACTTGATGTAAAATACTAGAACTATATTGACATATTAAAAAAACACTAATAAATATGACAAAAATAACAAATTTACACACAAAAAGACATAATTGCTATAATAATTTCTTAATGCTAAAATAAAACTGCTACATATTGTGAACAATTTTTTTTTACATTTAACTTAAAGGAGTAGTTCACTTTAAAAAAAAACTTTTGCTGATAATTTACTCACCCCCATGTCATCCAAGATGTCCATGTCTTTCTTTCTTCAGTTGAAAAGAAATTAAGGTTTTTGATGAAAACATTCCAGGATTTTCTCCATATAATGGACTTTAATGGGAACCAAACGGTTCAAGGTCCAAATGAGAGTTTCAGTGCAGCTTCAAAGGGCTTTAAACGACACCAGACGATGAATAAGGGTCTTATCTAGGACCCTTCGAGTCATGACTCGAAAAAAAGATTTGTTAATTTTGATGAACGAGTTTGAACAGGAGTCACGAACACACATCATAGAAAAGAGCAAGGAGAGCACTTGTGCTTATAAAACTTAAACTGTTTTATTTATTTTTTAAATGGCGAATGGTTTCGCTAGATAAGACCCTTATTCATCGTCTGGAATCGTTTAAAGCCATTTGAAGCTGCACTGAAACTGTCTTTTGGACCTTGAACCGTTTGGTTCCCATTGTAGTCCATTATATGGAGAAAAATGCTGTAATGTTTTCATCAAAAACCTTAATTTCTTTTCAGCTGAAGAAAGAAAGACATGGACATCTTGGATGACATGGGGGTGAGTAAATTATCAGCAAAAGTTTTTTTTAAAAGTAAACTACTCCTTTAAATGACCTTTAAGAGATGATGTGTATATAATTGTAAGTTTTTTAAATATTTGCACATTTTCAAGTGATGTGGAAGGGGACACAAATCTCAATATTGAATATTTATCTCGTGTTATTTACAGCATACAGTACAGATTCAGATCTTTTGCATGATATTATGGTAGAACACACATTCTCATAGATACAAAATGATAAGTGTGTTAATTTTTTCTGGAGTAGGTGCATTAGTGAGCATGAGCATATTTCACATTAGCATCCGCTAATGAGATATACTAGAGATTCCACTGAATTATTTAACTTCAAAACATGTTTAAATATTTAAAGATGATTGAACTGGTTAGAGATTAAAAAACAAACTGACATTATCAGTATCATTTGAAATCCACTAAAATGTCTATAAATTGTGCATTTTGTGATCATTTTCAGCATCGTTTACCAACTCCAAGGATAAAAAACATGATTTAAAGGGATAATTCATCCATAAATCAACATTCTGTCATCATGTACTCACACTTCCACACATGTATGACTTTTTTTCTTCGGTGAAACCCAAATGGAGATGGTTAGGAGAATGTTTGAGCTTCTGTTTTTGAAACTGCCAAAAAGTACATTAATTTATAATAAAATAGTACTTCCGAATCCGAAGTCTTCTGAAATCCTTTTTGTGAGGAACAGACCCCAATTTATTTAGTCTCCACAGGAGCACTGAAACCTCTGTAAAATCTAACATTGTTCTTACTAAGAATTTTTTTGTTAACTTTACTTAATGTGCAATACAATAATTTGTTGAACTTACTTAAAATTTCGTAGTAATCTGTACTGTTTGCATGCTATGCCTTCGTTACTCAGAAAAATCTTGTAAAGATTACTTGAGTACCATTTATATATATATATATATATATATACACTGTAAAAAATATTGTTGGTTTAACTTAAAAAAGTAAGCAACCTGGTTGCCTTAAAATTAATACAATGAAGGTGAATGATTTAATCATCAGAAACTCAAAATTATTTGTTATCTGAACTAAATAAATGATTTAAGTTGTTTTGACAAAAGAAAAAATGTTGTGATTACTAATCATGAAAAGATTTTTTTACAGTGTGTATATATATATATATATGTTTAATGATTTTATTAATTGACCATTAAATTTTTTTTTGCGGTATCTTGTAAGTATAACTCCAGTATCGAAAGCAAATAAAATTGTAATGGTAAAATAAAACCAAAAATAGAAAAACAAATCAATTAATTTATTCATGCCGCAATGCACTCTGGGAGTACACTTCCTCAGATTACAGACAGAATTAAGTTGACTTAAAAAAACAAAACTTAAATGGATTAAGTAAGAATAACTTGATGCAAATTAAGTTATGCTCACTTAATGAAATTAAGGCAACGCATAATAAAATTAAATAAACTGAACTAATTGTTTTTTACAGTTCAATAATAAAACCCATTGGGTACAACATCTTTGCTTGCGTTTCACAGAATAACTAAAATAATATAGGTTTGGATGCCAGGGTGAGCAAATGATGACAAAACGTTAACTTTTGAATGACGCACTGCTATAAAAACACATCTTTTGCCAATTGTAAAAGTTTCAAAGAATCAGTTCCACAAACAAAGACTCTTTGCCTTTTCAAATGTCTCGTCTTGTCTTTACCGTCACTGCGTTTCTTGATCTGCGTTATCGTTACATACTGAGCTTCAAATGTTTCCCTTGTCAAGCTTCTCTTGTTCAGTGAAGTCCCCTGTTGTGGTGCGCTGTCTGTCAGCAGTGCAGGATTTTAATGAAGGCCTTGCGGAACTCGATGTTGAAGGTGGTGTAGATGACGGGGTTGACAGCGCTGTTGAGGTAACCCAGCCATGTGACAGCGCTGTAGAGCGACGGAGAGATGCAGCAGCTACCGCAGTGAGCTTTCAGCACGTGTGTGAGGAAGAAGGGAAGCCAGCATATGATGAAGACACCTGCAAAAAACACAAACATCAAGGAGCGAAAACATCGCATTTGTAAGCTGCCCTGGTTAAAAACATCTGCTAAAAAATCATTCCTTTTAAATAGGCTGCGTGTAAGAATTTTCTTGTATTAATCACTTAATGTATTGGAAATGTGTAAACAGCTTGTACGAAAACTTAAAAGGACCAGACCTTCACTGAAAGCCTGTAGATAGACTTTAAAGGAGTAGTTCACTTTTAAAAAACTTTTGCTGATAATTTACTCACCCCCATGTTATCTAAGATGTCCATGTCTTTCTTTCTTCAGTCGAAAAGAAATTAAGGTTTTTGATGAAAACAATCCAGGATTTTCATCAAAACCTGGTGGTAACCAAACGGTTCAAGGTCCAAAAGACAGTTTCAGTGCAATATATTTGCATCATGTCGATAGCATCATGTCGACAGAAGAGGTCATTAAAATTTTAAAGTGATTATAAAGTATGTTTGAGACTAGAAAGACCTGGCTATGTTAGACTTTAGTTTGAATTAATCCTTTTTCTTTGCATGACATTGACATTTCAGTATAGAATAGCTCTTTCAGTGTTATCCTGAAATGAATATTATATAAGCAATCATTTCATGTGTCACAGAATGGAAGATAGGCTCTTCGGAGTGTGTGAAAACGTGTAAAATCCTTTTGATTTTCCAAAGAAACCGTCCTGAATCTTTCATATTAAAGGAGTAGTTCACTTTTAAAGGGTTCAAAGGGATTTAAACAATGAATAAGGGTCTTATCAAGTGAAATGATCGCTCATTTCAAAATTAAATAACAAAGTTTAAGTTTTATGAGCTTCTGTATGACTCTCCTGTTCGAATTCCTTCATCAAAATGATCGAATCTTTTGCCGAGTCAATTCCTTCATTTCGTTTGTTGAATGAACCAAATGACACGAAAAAAGATTCGTTCATTTTGATAAACGAGTTTGAACAGGAGAGTCACGAACGTGCATCACAGAACAGAGCAAGGCGACCATTTGAGCTTATAAAACTTAAACTTTTTTTTTTTTTTAAATGAGCGATCGTTTCGCTTGATAAGACCCTTATTCATCGTCTGGAATCGTTTAAAGCCCTTTGAACAGTTTGCAGTTTGCACTGAAACTGTCTTTTGGACCTTAAACCGTTTGGTTCCCATTGAAGTCCATTATATGAAGAAAAATCCAGGAATGTTTTCATCAAAAACCTTAATTTCTTTTCGACTGAAGAAAGAAAGACATGGAGATCTTGGATGACATGGGGGTGAGTAAATTATCAGCAAAAGTTTTTTTTTAAAGTGAACTACTCCTTTAACCTCTCACCTAAAACGATGGCGAGCATCTGTGTCGCCTTTCTCTCTTTCTGCTGTGACAGTCTTCCTCTCACTCTCTCCTTCGCCACGGCTCCTTTCTCTCTGTCTGCGTTTCTCTCCCTCCATCCGTGGGGGCCGTTCACGCTTTCCTGCAGTGCGGCCCCGCGCAGGCCGGGGACCGAGAGCGTGGAGCAGGGCCGTGTGGGACTGGGCGCCACAGACACCGACAGGGAGATTTTAGCATGTCCAGGCTGCTGCGATTGCTGCGGAGGCTGCTCTCTGTCCTGACTCAGAAAACACATGGGTTCCACGTCCAGAGGATGAACCACGGCCTCTTTCACCAGCGTCTGTCACAGACAACATGATTCACACAGACGTTCACGCTTTAGAAGTGACTGAATGTGAGAGGGACAGTATGAACAGCTGTAGTGTTTTACCACTTTCTTGCGTTGCGGAGCGGCTGGAGGAGGCTTTAATATTAAAGTGCACAATTTCACATCTTCAGGATGAGTACACTTATTCTGACAAACACAAAAAGAGAGAAAACAATGAAACGATGTGCCAGATTGCAGTCACTAGTTAATCATTTTAATTCTAATCAAAAGGCATGTTATATCTAGTTCAAAGGTTTTGGGTTGAAAAGACTTTTTACTGTTTTTGAAAGAAGTCTTGGTAACACTTCATTTTACGACCTGCAAACAACTGCATAGGTACACCGAAATCATATTAATATACTATGTGGCTATATGTAAGCACAGTATTATAAAAAAATGAATTTATTGGCTTTTTTTAGATTACTTAATGTTAAGTCAACCCACAGATGTCAAAATTAACTGATCCCTAAACCCACCCCTAAACCTACCCAGCTCCACCCCTCAGATCTGGATCCAACTCCACCCCCTGATCCCTAAACCCACCCCTAAACCTAACCAGCTCCACCCCTC